TTTACAGTTTTCATCTGAAATAGAACAGAGGGAAATCTTCTAATGATGACACTTACTCCACCACTTTGGAGAGTTTTAATCTCAGTTTTTGTTGGATTCATGGGACAAAAAGAGAAGGGAAATCTCCCCAACGCGACATGGACAGGAAAAAAAACCTGTAGCCAGGCACATTTTGGCCTCAGAAATAATTTTAAGTGTATTTCCACTTTTGCAGTCAAATTTGAGAAAACCCCTCTGTATGTTTGTTATGCGTTCCCCTTCACACAGCATAGCTAAGAATAATTTTAAGAAATTCATACCTTTTTAGATGTGCTGTTTTAGCAGGCAAAAAGACAGATTCCACCTTTTTCTGAACACCTTCACAGTGATCTGTCCTAATAGAAAGACTGAGGACAGGAAAGTGTGGATTGAGTTTCTCTCATTAACATACAATGCAAATGCCAGGCATTTCATCCTTTAACCTGTTGTTAGGACAGGCAGCGTACAAACCAAAATTAAATCAGTCAGCACAGTACAGAGAGGTTTAACACAACCCCCTGAAAGCCCCTGGTAATATTACAAAGAAGGAGAAAAAAAAGTTTAGCTGGTAAAACACAATTTAAACTTCAAGTTTAAACTGCATTTTTTACAATTTTGTAGCTTATGCTATGTGATTGGTATCTATTACTCGGCTATTAAATAATAATAGTAGTAGGTACAGCATGGGCTTGGTGGCTTGGTGGACGACATAATAACATGCTGGTATACATATGTGCTCTACTTTGTACCACATGTTAGGATCCACCCACATTCCTTCTAGCCACACATACATTATGTCTATAGTCATTGATAGATATTGCAGTTTGAAGGAGTGTACATACATACATAGCTGTAATCCAAATATATAGACAGAAGAATCATTAAAGTGTTTTAATCTAGACAAAAAAATATTTAGAGGTCTATTCACGAAGCAGCAGAAGGATCTAGCCATAGCTTCGGCTGATCCTTCGGCTAGCTTCGGCCCCAGGACCGTTTCGGTTCGTTAGAACCGAAGGGCTGCTGTACGGGCTATTCACTATAGCCCGTACAGCTCCCGAAGTCCGCCTTCGGCTCAGTTGAGCTGAAGGCATATGCTTCGGCTCGACTGAGCCGAGGTAAAAGCCGAAGTTGGCCGAGCGGCCAGCGACAGCCTGCTTCTGACAGCTGGGCGGAGCCAGCCGTGATGTTACGGCTGGCTCCGGCCACTTGCAGAGAGATCAGCGTCCCTGGTTACCAGTTCACCAGGGACACTGAACTCCAGACAGCCTAACTCTCCCGGGCGCTCTGGGAGTCTCCCGCTCCCAGCCGCCCATGAGAGAAACACTGTTTTTTCTTTTTTTTTGTTCTGACACGGAGCCGTTGGCTGGCGTCAGAATAAAAGAAAAAAATTTCACTATAGGAATGCCTTGCTAGATTCCTATTGGCTATTTCAATTTGCAATACAACTTGCAATAGCCAATAGCAAACTAGCTGTAGCACCCGCGCACTGCTGCAGTTCTCCATCAGGTCCCCACTAGTGATTGACAGCAGCAGAGGGCGGGTGCAATTGCTAGTTTGCTATTGCAAATTGAAAGTCAATTGAAACAGTCAATAGGAATATAGCAATGCATTCCTATGGTGAAAATGTTTTTTTTCTTTCTTTTTTTTTGACGGCAGCAGAACCGCCGGCCAATAGAAAACAGTTGGGCAAAGCTAGCTGTCACTGCTAGCTCTGCACAATCGTTTTCTATGTATTTTTTTTGTACTTTTTTCACTATTTTTCTGTTCTGCTCGGTCCCACAGAGGGACCGAGCAATAAAGGACAGGAAAGGGGGAAGAGTGAGCTGCCCCCCTCCCTGCCATACCAGGCCACATGCCCCCGGGACTGGGAGGGTGCTTTTCCAGGGTCGCCCCTGGAAAAGCTCCTTGTCCCTGTGCCGATGGGGACAAGGACCTCGTCCCCACAGGCCCCCACAAAGGGTGTTGGTTGTGGGGGTGCAGGCAGGGGGCTTACACACATCAGGGTACCACTTTAATAAAGGGGCATCCAGATGCACCCCCCCCCTCCCCCGTTGTGAATGAGTAAGTACCACTACCCATTCACTAAAGGGTTAAATAGAAGTTAAAAACAAGACCAGACTTTAATCAAAAATCCTTTATTTGAAATAAAAACATAACAGATTTTGGCAAGCTCTTTATTTTAAAACAAAATGGATCCACCAACGGAATCCCAAGGTCAATCACAATGTCCAGTGTCCAGTGTCCACGACTTTGTGAAATAAAAAAATAAAAATAATAAATACATTTAAAAAAATTATTTTAAAAAATGATTCCATCGACCCAGCCGCATGCGATGAACTCCCTCTGCAGAATGACGTATCTGACAGATGCCAGAAAAATATAAACAATTGGGTGGAGCTAGGGGAGACACAGCCGCTAGCTCCAACCAACTGTTTACATTTGTCTGGGACCTGCCAGCAGGTCCCGGGCAAATGAAAACAACTGGACGAAGCTGGACGTGATATCATGGTTTAATGACAGATCAGTGTCCCCACGTCATGGGATGGTGATCTGTCATTACAGTACCACAACTGGGTTAAGCCAGCTGTGCCATCTCGGCTGGCTCCGCTCAGCTGTTGTCATTTGCGGGGTGGACGGTCTGCTTCGGTAGACCATTTGCCCCGCTTCGGCTGAGATTACGGCTCAGCCGAGCTGAAGCTTGGCTGAGCCGTTCACCTGCCTCTGGCTGCTGTACGGGCTATAGTGAATAGCCCGTGCAGCTGCCCTTCGGTACGAATGAACTGAAGGGCTCTAAGGGCTGAAGTGAGCCGAAGGATCAGCCGAAGCTACAGCTGGATCCTTTGGTTCCTTAGTGAATAACCCTGTATGTATTTCTTGCACCCTGGAACATAAAATAACATAGTTGAAGTTATCATATTTCATAAAAACAAAGCAGACACTGTCAGGATGTTTTATCAGATATTCTACAGAAGTTAGACCATCCATTGGAACAGGAGTAAGCTCCTGTCCTAAACAATTCTTCTAACCTCAGGGGTTCATTTTACAGTAGTCACATCAATAAGATATATACAAATAAGGCTGAATGTTTATGGCCACACTCGGGATTACAGTCTCTTACCTTGTCTACAATCCCCGCTGTGTGTATTACCGCACATCCAGCGCACATTGTATTGTTTACCCGGCATATAAGACGACCGATTTTCGGGGGATGTTTTTAAGACTAAAAACTCGTCTTATACGCCGGCAAATATGGTATATGGTCACTGACATCCAAGCTTTGATCTGGTGAAAATGACACACTCAGATCATAGACATCAGGCTCCCACCTTATATCTGGTATCTCATTTGATGGGAGAGTCCCTGCAGATAGCATAGATAGCTTGGGTACTTCTCCTGTCTTTTCTGTCTGAGTAGATTAGACTGTTTTATGTGGGACCTTGACAATTTGACCAAATGATTCCTTTACCTCATTTAGTTTGTTTCTGCACTGTAGCATGTCTGCATGACATGCTTCATATTTCACCTTCAGAGCATGCAGTGATTTTTCCCTCATTTAATTATTTTTTTTCAAAGTTAATAATTTTAGACTTCAATAATGCAACCTCGTTTTTAGGAGTGTTAATTGTTGTATGTAACTCCACCTCTTTCAAAACAGACATTCTGTGTTGTAACTTCTCTGTGGCATTTGCATCCAAAGCCTTTCCTTGTCTTATCTTTAGAGATAGTGCTATTTTAATGATTCCTATTCTCTTTGAAAAGGTGGCCAACTCTCTTTTATTGTGACTTGCTAAACTAGTATTATTCATATCCTGGCCATACCTTGATTTTACTGACCTGGTCTTTCTGAGTACATGAAAAGACCTATGACTCAACTCAATTATGTTTTCATAAGAATGCTTAAGAGGATCAACTAAAAATCCACAATTGGCTTTGAATTTAAGATGGGCATTATATATTAGGAGAGTTTTGTACTCCAGGTCCTCTCTGTGTCCATTTCTGCCTTTGCCTACGTAATAGGCTGCCCACAGCCGTTTTGCATAAATAAGCAATTTCTCATTATTTGCCTGCTTTGTTTAAACCTGTGTCAAAGGGATGTTATACTTTTAACAGTTCATCCCCTGTTTCATTGTAAGTTCCTTTTCCCTCTTTAACATTGTCTGGTAAGGAAGCCCATGTGGACAATTCCACTGTTAACAGTAAAACCTTTCCCTGATCGCTGGAGTTAGTAATTCCTAGCAATTTACATCTTTGCATGACATTGCCTGCATGAAATGTAATGTGCACTCCCGGCATTAGTTTACCAATATTATTAGCCGCAAGCAGCACATTTTTGGTTGGACTCATTATGGATATCATTTTTTTGTGGTGAGCTATCCATTCCAGTTGATCTGGATACATGAACATCATTAGATGCAGGAAACATTTAGTTTAAAATAAGTTGTTGCTTTGTGCATATAAATATTTAGCAACAGCTTTTTCCATCTTATATTCATGGACCTGGATTGCTCATGTATCAGTTCATTATCAAATTAACTCTTTTGAAATGTACTACTAAGATTATGCATTCCTAATATATTATCAATAGGGTCCCAAATGATTACAAACTAAACATTCCCATATCAAGCAGAATGTTATAACACATTCCCATATCAGCACTGTTAGCATTTAAAACAAATCCTTCATTAATGTGCCTATGTAAATATTACAACGTCTTAAAATATTACTGAAATAGACTACCAATTTTGTGTCCAAGGAGAGGTCGCCAACTGTTACCCAGGTAAAGTGGATATGTAAATAGATTCCAATCACTATAAGAACATTCAAATCAACACCCCTAGATCTGAGGATTCTTAAATAAAAGAAGTAGTTCAATCAGCTTTATATATTCACTGGTAGGGTTACATATTTACAAATAACACACTAAACAATATTTACAAGACAATGCACAGTACAAGTATGATGGTGCTTTACCTCTCAGCCTTATGCCTGTTCATCCTGAATGCCTTTGTGTCCCAGGTAAAAGAGAGAGCACATGACTTGCTAACAATACTACATGTATATATCTATATCTATCTATATAGATAGATGGATATAGATAT